ACCACCACAAGTCTAGTATCCACCTGTCCCCGTACAAAGTCACTGCCGTATTATTGACCATACTGCTCGGCCTCTTAAGGGGCAGGTCATGTCCCTTCTCAGAGTGTGGTCCCTGGGCTGTTAATGTGATGTTAACTTGGTGAACTGGGAACTCGATGGAAAAGCAAACTCTTAGGCCTGATCCAAGACCCGCAGAACAAAGAACTCTATGGGCCCAGCAATCTGTGTAGTTTTTTTTTTAACTTTTTTTTTTTTTTCCCTTAAACGGAGGTACTGGGGATTGAACCCAGGACCATGTGCAGGCTAAGCATGCACTCCACCTCTGAGCTCTACCCTCCCCTCCAGCAATCAGTGTTTTAACAGCTCTCCTGGTGAGTCTCACACACACTCAAGTTTGAGAACCACTGGTCAGTAGGAACATTTACTTAGTAGGGGAGCGCGGTAATAATGCCTGCCCAGTCTTGCGCGCAGGCTGTGTCTCTCAGCGTTGCACTGGTGGTTTCTGGGCACATACTGTTTAATCTGCATGGAAAGTGTTCTTACTCCCACTGTGGAGCAGAGGGCAGTGACGGTTAGAGAGTCTTGACAGTGTGCCAGGTGACAAGGCCAGGACTCAAATTCCAATCTTCCCAACAGCGCCCTCCATGAACTGTCATAATCCATGAATTCCTACTGAGTAAGAAGCTTCCAGGGTGAAGTTCTCAGTCCAGCTCAGCTCACAGACTCTCTTAACGTGCTTCTCCGTAATCCCAAATGCCTTTTGCAACGTCTGTACGTATTCTTTGACTTCTGTAAATCTGCCACTCTTGTGAAGTATTTGCATATCAAGGGCTTTTTTTTTTTCTTTCCCATAGTGGACAGAAGGAAAAGTGAGTGACCAAAATGTTCAAAAACAAATTAGGTTCTCCAAGCAACGATAGACCCTTTTACTCAGCAAATGATAAAAATTCTTAATGTTCTGGGAAGGAACCAAGACGGGCACTTCAGAGTGAAGTGGGCAGGGGGACTGCTGGTAAAGAATTTGGCTTCAGAACAGAACTCATCATCATTCTGTGAAAAAGGGAAATGCATGTTCCGCTTGGGTTGCTCTTGATTCTTGTTTGTTCTCAGATCATCAGAACTGCTTTTTTTCCCCACCTCTGAGCCCTCTCCCCTGCTGGGGAGGCCCCCACCGGCTCCAGAGGACTCAGGCCTTGAATAGAGGATTCTAGAAGCTCTAGTCCAGCAGGACGTGTGTCCTGTGTCAGACTGAGTTCCTCCCCTGCTCCCTGTGTCTGCTTCCTCATCCTGGGAACCTCTGAGTCTGAGATCTCTTCTTTCTCTTGCTGGAAATCCATGCTCCGGCCTCTGGACCCTGGCCATGTGTTGGGGCCTTCGCTCCCTCTGCAACTTTCATTTTATTTGTCCACTCTGAAGGGTATCGTAGCAAACAAGCCCTGGCGATTGATGCTTAAAGTTAGAGCCCATTTTAATCCTAAGTGTGAATCGTGACGATGCTTAGGAAAAACTAATATTCCTGGGCCCCAACCTTCAATGTTTTTATTCAGTGGGTCAGGGCCCTGGAATTTGTATTTCTACTCTGACTCTGATTCAGCCAGTTTATTAAGCAGCAAGCATTTCAGAACCTCCCTCCAAAACCTTCTCCCTGCCCAAGAGATGTGGGCAGCGCTTTGATTCAGGGTGTTGGAACGTCCATGTGGAAATGAGGGCCCCTGTTCTGGTAAGTTCTCACGGTCTCAGGATTGCAAACAAGGGCCATGGGGGCAGACAGAAACATAATGAAGACACAGTTCAAGGGTGGTTAGTGGCAGGGCTGAGGGATGCAGAGATTTTGTGTCTGAGCAGACGGTGTCTGAGAGAATGGCCTCTGGACCACCCTCTGCCTTCTCATCCTGACTCAGCCACTTCCTGGTCAGGAATCTCTGTGCACAGGTTCCACGCTTAAAAACTAGGGAGAATTGTGGCTCTCATGTCATAAGGTTGATAAAAGGATTAAATGAGTTAAGTGTTTAAATCACTGCATTATAGATGCAAGGTATGTATTTGCCATTGTTCTCAGGACACTTTCTACACCAGGAACAGGCCAGGAAATGCAGGAACCTGAAGCAGGCAGCACATTCTCCCCA